GTTAGGGGCTGTGCTGGAGCCCCTGGAGCCAGCACTTAACAGGGCACAGCACTTTCTGCTAAGTGTTCAGGGCAGTAGCACAGCTATCGACTAACGTGTGCTCCTTCTGGATTGTAACACTTGTCCCTCTGGCTCTTCAAGGACATGTGGGTCATAGTTGCTTTACATCCAAGTATATTCTTCCATCCTTTGTCATATAGTAACTGAAGACCTATAAGGGCTTCCTTGTTTCGGTGTCTCTTTTTTTAAAGGGGTGTCTGAAATAGAGAGCCAGTACCAAATTTGAGGTTCTTTTTTTTTTTAACCTCATTTCCTGTCTAAGCATTGATACGACTCTGACTCATTCAGCTGACAGGATGAAATTCCAGGCTGGCTTTTTACACAAAAGTATTTTGTTTTAAGCATTTAAAGTGTGAAAATGTTTCTGTTTTTAGAAATAAGTCACCTTTGACCAGAAATGGAATATACAAGATAACAAAACAACAACAACAGAATCAGTGTAACTGTCACTGCCATGACTTTGACAGCAAAAGTTATGACTTTTAGGGTTTTTTCATAAGCTGTTGGAGAAAACTCTGGGCTAGAATGAGGCCAGAGAAAAAGCTTGTGAGTTAGTTAAAAATCAGAATGTCTTTCCTGTGGAAAACACTGGTATCAAGAAAAGTGTTTTTAAACTGAGTGTTGGAAGTAAAGGAGATAATATTTTGAGTAAGTTTACAGTGTTGATGGTGTAGCAAAATGTTGATCTGAGGTCCCTGTTCCAGAACAGGTCCATTTCCATTCCAGTTCAAACAGCCTTTCCAGAGGCTGTAACAGTGCTAGGAGATTCCTGTCTCCAAGGTGGGTGTCTCCCCAGAGCATGATGAAGTTGAATTCCTCCCCCAGGTCATTTGACAGTTGCATTTCTTGCCCTGCCATTTTGTGTCTCTGGCAGAGATAACATTCCTTGGCTGTGGCTTGATGCCGAGGACTCTCTCCTTGGGAGGAAGGAGTTTCAAAGGCCATGAAGATTGTAAGCCATGGCTAAAAATCCTTTGCTGTACCTGAGAAAATGAATGTCTTCAACTGAGAAATGAGACTGGGTGTGGATCTCGACTGGGCTGTTCTTTCCATGGGAAGGACTCCAGGTAAGGGTGATCCTGGGACGAAAAGTTGTGTCTGAGGCCTGTTAACTTATTGCTGCTCACAGATTAAGTAAATAGGAGGGATATCACCCTCTGTGAGGGAAGGGGCTTGAAGAAAGGGATAGGAATTATGCTGAAGCCCTGGTTCACGCAGGGGCCACCACCTCAAGTGCCTTCAGCTTCTCACTCAAAGTGAAAACAAGCAAAATTTCTCTAGGCTTGACAGAGGTGAAGGAGAAAGAAAAGACAAATGCCCCATTAATCATTGCCATTGGCATATAGTCTGTAAGTGAGGGAATAAGTAAAGGGTAAAGCTTGTACAGATTTACATTTTTGCTAGTGAGTGACCTGTGCATAAGATGTGTCCTAGATAAGCATTGTTTAGTCTTTGTTCCTCACCAGAAAACTGTAACAGAGAGATCTGCATTCTAATTCTGTGATTAAGTCTAACCCATACCTTGGTGTTAACTGACCCCATTCATATCCTAAAGCTGAGATTATACTGCAGAAGTTTATTATTTGAAAAACTGTTGCTTGTCCATGATGGCTAACCCTACCTGAGAAGGGCTTGGAACTTGGAAACACTTGGACTGAGGAACTTCTTGAGAGTTTTTACAGGCCCTAAAGCTTCTATGGTTGTTTCATTTACACTCAGCTGGCCTGACCCATGTTAACACTGCTTTCCTTTGCAATTGAAATATTTCAGCTGCCTTGTGAAATATGAGAGACTTTTTAGACTTGTTAGAAGCTCAGCGGGATGACATTGAGTGTTTGCACAGCAGCTTATAACAGTCCCAAGAATAATTCCTGGATCAACCTTGTGGCTATTTTTAAACCAGAGAAAAATATGGACTGCTGAATAAATCCATTTTTCTCATTGGCATATGATTATTTTCCCTATTTTTATTTCACTGTTGGTTATTTGACAGCTCAAAACACATTTCCAAACACACCTCTCTTCCATCCCAAAATGAACATGTGACTGTGGATTACCCATCAGACTTTGACAGTCTTTTTGTCCAACATTGGGAAAGGGATTTTGATGTTATTTCTTTTCTTTTTAAAGCTAGAATGTACCAGTTGAATGGCCATGCATTTAACTTTCATTGAACTTTCCTCTTTCTTCCAGTTTTGTTGTTTTGTTTATAGTTTTTTAATAAGCATGCTGTACGCACCTTGTTTTTAACTCTCATCAGTAGCCATTATTGGACAGAAAGAGGACTGAGATCCCTGATGTGACTGTGAGACAAGGGGAGTGTGAAACTCACTCCTATCCCACTGAATCTGAAGCCTGGAGAAGCTTTTCAGTGCAATTCTGCTCCCTTTGCCACTAGAGATAGTAGTCAGTAATTGAATTTAGCCTGCTTTGCTAACCTCAATCTTCAGAGACTTCCAAGGGGCTGGTCAGGCTGTTGTCAGACCCATGTGCCTTAGGAAGCAGCATATGTGAACAGTCTGTTGCATGTGAAACACCTTTGACACTTTCTGTGTTGCCAGAAATGCAGCTGCAATGAAAGAAAGGTGACCTTGGTGAAGGCTTAGATCGAAGTTGACTGTTTAAATCAATTAAAAGGTGGTTGGCTTAGAATACATATAAGAAAGAAGTCTTTTGCAATGAGGGTTGGTAAAGCAATAGAACAGGTTGCCCAGAGAGGTGATGAATCAGCTGGAAACATTCAAGGAGCTCTGATCTAGTTGAAGATGTCCCTGCTAATTGCACAGAGGGCTGGACTAAATGACCTCTAAAGGTCCCTTCAAACCTAAACTGTTGTATGATTCTACATTTCTTAGTGTGCAGAGTCTCTCTCACTGGGTCTGTTTTTGTGCCTGGATGTTTACAGTCAATCTCTGCTCTCACTCTGTCTGGTGAATATAACACCCAAGTGTTGCAAGGACGGGGACTGTGGCATGTGAAGGCACATCATGCTGAGGCGGGTGCCCAGAGGAGCTGGCTCATGGGAAAGCCTGCCCTGGGCATGGCAGTTCTGCAAGATCTGTGATAAAGTCATCATCACCAGTGGTAACTGGAGAAATACTAGCAGATTTCTAACAACTGCTTAATCCAGGATTCAGCACTAGTTCCAGCTGTTGACAATCATCCTCTCCCTGTGGCTTTGCTGGGATGTGGTGTTTGTCACAATATATCTAACCTGTTAAACAGATACAGCTTTTGCTCCAGCAGGGATGCCTTTAGTGACAGGTAAAATGATTCAAGTGTACAGAGGATAATGTCCTTCCATTTGTTAAATTTGCTAACTGCTTTGGGAGCCTGTGGGATGAAAGGTGTCATAGAAATGTAAAGTGCTATTATTCATCCTAAATCACTCTACTCCATTTTCATTTTAAAAACCCCAAAAAACCACATATACTTCTTTCTTGCATTTCGTTCAGTGTTTGTGTCTCAGGCATTTTATCTGGCCTTTCTTCAGGCAGTTATTTCCCTTACCTGTTTCTCTAGTTACTTGAGCAATCTGTTTTCTGTGACTAATTTTGACACTGATTTTCAGTGATTTTATTTAAACATACAATGAGTTTAAGCATGTGAGTGCAGTTCATAAAGCTCAGAGAATCCAAACATTTTGGTTGTACTCAATGATAGGTTTACTGTATTTTCCCATGCCCTAGGATTAATTACAAACAGCTGAAATAGAAAGGCCTAATGAAGGAATATTCTTGATGTGAGAGCAGGAAAGAGAGATGTGTGGGACAGGAATTCAGTAATCCTCTGGCTGGAGGTGTAGCTGTACCTAAACACTATCTTTCATGGAGCCAACTTAACTTGTAAGTCAAGAATCTGTCAGTCTAAACAAGTCTGAAGTGTGAAGAAGTTTACTTTAGTTGGCATTTAACTTTTCCCTTGGCATCCAATTCTTAGCTTTAATCAGAATATCTCACAGAAGATAGGGTTCAGTTTGATCCAGCTATGTGAGGTATCATATGTAGTGGCTTGAACTCAGGGAAGTTTCAGCTCCAGCTTGCAGACAAAGAAAGCAGTTCCTCAGAAAAGACATTTAAGCAGTATTTCAAGTTGCAGGTTTCAGAGAGCAGCATTTCCAGTATTTTACTTACTTGTGTAAGGAAAGGAAAAAAGAGAACCCTCTTGTGCATGTTAGAGGGCTGATAATTTCTTGTGTGATCTCTCTTACCTTTCAGAAAATTTAAACCACACTGGAAATAAGAAATTATTAGCCAACAAATTATAAATCAACAGGTTCTAAACCTATCACTAATGTATATAGTAGCTCCAATACCGTGTATAGATTTTCCTCTGAAAGGCAATATTTACGGAAAAAGTTGTAAGGTAACCAAAAATTGTAACTGCAACAGCATCTAATGTATGAGTCATTAGGTGGATTTGAACTTGGAGCATATAAAGTAATGGAAAGATCTGAAGTTCACTCCCAAACAGATCTACAGCCAGCAGATCACAGAGATCAGGTCAACAGGTGGAGCCCTGAAAGATAAAGCATCAAGATGCCAATATACAACTGACTGAAAGACAGCAGCTAACAGCTGGGGATCTTCAGAGCAGGGAAGCAGAGCCTGTCAGGTCAAATGATTGAATGGAAACAAGGTGGTTCTGAAGGGAATGAAACCCAAGGATGAAGTAATAATGACCAACAAACAGTACCAGTGTCTAAATTATGTATGACAGTGATACCATAATTTGACTTTTATAATACAATGCATTACACCATATTGTGTTCCCCAAATAGGTATTTTTTTCTCTTCTGGCTGACTGTTCATTATATTCTAACATATTCATTATGTCTTTGGGCTATTAAATGCCAAAGTAAACTTTGTTTTCAAATCTAGGCCTCCAGTCTAGGAATTTCAGCAGTATTCTCCAGCATTTTCAGATTATCCATGTGTTATATGTTCACCATTTTTGTACATTTCATATCTGTAGTTCAATTTCTACTATCTTTACAATCATCAGTTGAAAGAGTTACTCTGTGGGCAGAAATAGTTTTAAGATTCTCCTGAGAGGCTGCACCAAGGTCATTCTCTAGATGGAGGGGGGCATGTAATTTCTTTGAACTTTGTTTAAATTGTAGTTTCTACCTCCTTTCTCTACAACTTTGAGCCTTTTCTTCTCCAGACAAAACTCATTCTCACATATCCTTTCCATTCCCACCTTTTAAAAGGAGAACACTCAAAACAAGTATGTGGAAAATATTAACACATTGAAAATGAAAATTATATAGGGATTGAAATCTAACTACTTTTGTGATGCCTTTCTGGCCAGAGTGCAAGAGAGAGACTCTCAAAGAGCATACCTGCCATCAGATCCCTGCTCTTTTCTTCATGTTCCAGTGCCTCTGAAATGCTCAGCTTTACAACCATGACACCACCAAGTTGCTGTGAGGTAAGAAATTCCTGTGACCCATTCACGTCTGATCACTAAACTTTCTTTGGCTATTCAAGCCCCTTTGTGACAGGAAATGCTTGAATGTTAAGGCATATTCTGCAAAAGAAGTTTTGGTAACTGCAGGTTGAGTTGCTGGGAAGTGGTTCTGTTTTATACCCTGTTTCTTGAAAGCCCTTCAAGAAACCCAGCTATGGCTTGAGCATGCTGCTGCTCACTTGTGCAGCAGGGCAGAGCCACCCTAACCTGGCCAAGGGGGCTAATGGACTGTGGGCATGGAGCACAGGTGTGCAAAGGGAAAGCTGGAACCAGGTTTGGCCAGCCACTAGAGACTGGGGGAAGAGGGGTGGTGAGGGGTGCCCAGCTGCTGTTTCCAGCCACCTAAAGGGGGTTCCAGGGAAGGCAGAGCCAAACTCCTTCCAACATAAGCATAAGAGGCCAGGGGCACGAGTGGCCACAAGAGAAATCCCAAGCAGTGCCCTCCATCCCAGGCTGCCTGCTCGGGGCTGCAGACACAGCCCCAGGTGCTGACTCTGAAAGGGTGCCCAGCCTCAGTGGGGCACCCGCAGGGGCTCGGGATGCTGCCAGGATGGGCTGGGCAGAGACAGCCAGCTGGGCTGCCCTGGAAAGGAGCTCCTCTGAGTGTCCATCCTTTTTAGAAATATATGTGTGTGTGTGTGTGTGTGTGTGTGTGTGTGCATATATGTGTATATATATATGTGTGTGTATATATATGTGTGTATATATATATGTGTGTATATATGTGTGTGTGTGTATACATATATATATGTGTGTATATATATGTGTGTGTGTGTGTATATATATATATGTGTGTGTGTGTGTGTATTATTTTTAAATTGTGAGGTATTTGGATGTGGATAGGGTTTGTTTATTTGCTTGTTTCAAGTCGCCTTTGTGCACTGGGCCCAGCGGTGGCGTGGCCACTGGGGGTGACTGACGGGTCGTGTGCCTTGCTGGGGGCTATGCGGAGCTTCGATCGCTGCCGGAGCTGGCAGCCCGGCAGCCCAGGAGGGGCTTGCGAGCGGCTTTTTAAAGCCTGGGATTTCCAGCGCTCCCCAGGATGAGTCGCGGCTCGGCAGCCCTGCACAGAGCAGATGTGCGGAGGGGAGGGAAATGCTTTCGGCTGAACCCAAAAAGTACGTGCCTGGAGTAAGGCTTCAGGAAGTGGGAGCTGGGCAGGGAGGAGGAAAGGGAGCATTTCTCTTCTGCTTAGCTTTCTAAGGAATAATTTAAATTAACTGCTTCTCCTCTAGGAGGAAAAATCTCACTGATGTTGTTTTAATGTGAATTTTGATATTTATTTTCTCTGTACGTGTGTGTGCGTATCTGACCTAGCTCTCTCCAGAGGGAAATCTGTTTTATTTGTGCTGGTTTGTTTAGATTTTTAGGATTGATTTTGGCTGATGGGAGAAGTGGTTGTGCAAGAGGTTGATGTAGCAGGAGGTTGCTTATGATGGTATTTGTTGCATCATCAGGAGCTGATGAATTAACCCTTATTGTGATCTGATCCATAATAGCAGGAACATTTTTATGAGAAAGGGAATATAAATGAAGTCCTAAAGCAGATTTCAGAGCTGTTATCCTTTTGTGGAGCCGATTAATAGAATGTAAAGTGACCTAAATGAAGTGCTGTAAAAAGGCTTGTCAATAGTTTATACATTAAGCTAGGATTATTTGAACTCATTCATAATGAAAAGAGGATTTTCTTGTGCATTAAAAATTAGTTATGATGATTTGAGGCAGAAGACTGAGAGAGGTCAGCAAGCTAAATATAAAGAATTTGTGTTCCTCTGTCCTCATACAGCCCCATCCCTATATACCCTGACCCTATACTATTACAATATTTTGTAGAGATTTTAAGACAGAAGATTTATTGCTCAGTCTTTGATAACTTGTGTGGACTTAGTTTTATTAGCCAACCCAGCCATGGGATTCAAAGAAGTCTACCAAGAATATTTGTTTCTAGTCCAAAGAGTGGAAGAGAAAAGGTTATGGGAATGCTGTGGGAGAATTTCCAGCCTGGGAGGGAAATGGCAGATTTTGTTTCATTGCAACAGGTCCTGGAATAAGTGAGACAAAAAGTTGGATCAAGATTTTTACTGAGTCCATTCGAGTAATAAATAAGTGGCAAGTGAAAAAGAATTTGAGCATATAACTCGTAACTCCAAATTATTACCCAATATTGTTCTCTGGCACTGCCAGAGGTCTTAATTTTTTTAATCCCATCTTTACCACAGTGACCCTTTTTGCTGATAAATTTTCTCTAAAGAGAAATTTATGTGGAAATCCAAGTTTTGTTCCCTATCATTATATAGTCACCAAATTTTCAACTAGTTCACATCCTGTATTGCCTTCTCTTACCACAAACTTAGCTGTGCAAAATCATATATATATGCAACTAAGTAAGTTGATCGAGGGATCTAAAGTTGAAATTTGGTTGACTTTGCTTGGCTGCATTCAGAGGTTGCAAATTATCCCCCTTAGGATGTCCTGTGTTTCCAATGCCCCTAGGTGCTAGCCTGGAGAGAGAGGGTGGCTGCTGAAGATGATCTGCTTAGTCCAGCAGTCCCTGGCTAAGCAATTGGGAACCAGAATTCAGTGCACAGAGGACCCAGAGTAGAGATGTATGTCTGCATATTGTTGCAGGTGGTTAAGTGAGGCTGGTCACATCCTAAACCCTTAGGGCATGACAAAGCAGTGTTATTGCATGAGATGATTCGGCCTTTGGTATCAATGTACCCAAGAATTTTTCAAAGTTATGCAAACTTAATAGAAGCATGGCGTTGCAAGACATTGCAGCTGCAATACAAATCAAACTCTCTCAGTCCTGAAAAGCAGGAAATTTTAGTGCATAGGTGTGGGATACATATTGAGAAAGTAAGAAAATTACAGCCTGAAAAGTATTCCGGGCTGGAGCTTTTCAGCTCTGTTCCCAGCCAATAAGCTGGCCCAGCTCAAGGCTAGGGAGAATTTCTCCCAGGGTGCTAATTTGGTCAAAATAAAAAGGAATTAATAACAAAGATAGAACACCTGTTGAGGTACATGACCAGGCCCTAGAAATAGGGTGTCTTCTCTCTGAACCAATCACCTTTTCTCTACTCTTGGAATTGCGAGTCATGCTATAAAACCAAGTGTGTTTCTGAATAAACTTGTCTCTTTCTTTCTCTCATGAAAGACGACCATGTAGCTGTGCATCTTATTTCCGCCGCACCTAAAGGGTTAAAACCCCTTTCCATGGCTACACATAGGTACGAGGGAATTTAGGTAGCTACTCATAATGTAGCTGAGAGGAAGCACCAGGCTTAGTTGAATAAATTGATTGCATGCTGCTACACGCTTCTTATAAATTATGTGATGAGGACAGCCACCCTAGGAAAGGTTTAAATAAAAAGATATTGTTCAGACTTTACATGCAGCTTTGGTAGGCACTGGGGGTTGAGAGAGTGCTTAGCAGGTAAGTAAGTCAACAGCCAGAAATGCCTGGTAGATGGTAGTTAGCAGCTGAACGTGTGATGTGGCACATGCAGAATGCAGGGCACGGTTCAAGGATGCAGACTGGAGCTGTTGTGCAGCTGGATCAGTGCCTGGGCCAGTCTGTTGCAGTGAGGTCTGATCTGGGAGTTACCAGCTGATCCTGCTGAGAACAGCCCAGGGAAAGGTATCAGCAGCTTTGTTTGACAGCATTTGCAAAGTTCAAACATACCCTTAGCAGAAAGCCCAAGAAATAGGGAGATGGACTGTTCTGATTGTTGCTGATCCCTTCAGACTGACTGTCATCAACACAATTGTGAAATGACTGCAAGTGAAATGACTGACTTGTTGAAATCAAGCCTTTGGTGGCTGCATGATGAAATAGGCAACATTTAAACAGCTCTGGCTAATGTAGACCTACTGAAGCAAAGTTAGCAATGCCTAAAAAAAATCTCAAGTGAGAAGAAAATTTGTTTGGATTTGAATTTAAAAAAGGACAAATTACTTTCATCAAACTTTCTGCAACCAGTAATGTAGTGCTCAATGAATTACTTGCCTTTTGTTGAGAAAGAAAAATACTGGTATCTTTTGCTACAATTTCTGTACTTAAATTCGTGCAAGTAGTCAAATGATGTAATTGACTTTACTATGATATGGAAAGGGTCAGCATGGCTTAGAAACAGGCAGTGTTGTTGTCACCATGCAGTCACTGTCATAAGAGATCCCTCCTTTCATGGTGCTGCAGAGACTATTGCACTCACAACTGAGTGACAGCAAATGAAAGTGACTTCAGGAGCACCAGGAAGACGCTTAGTGGATCAATGCTGGTTCTTCGGAGAACTCCAGTGGCACTGCTGTAGGTAAGTGCCAGTCAGTTACTTCTCAAGCAGCTGGTGAGGGAAGGAAGGGTGGCTCAAATGCTGGAACGCTGCAAGATCTGCAGTGTTTGCCATCCCTTCTCCGCAGCACAGGAGGTAGCAGTCTGATGGTGTCCTGGGTAATGCTTCAAAAAACTTAAATGACCCATCTGTAACAGAATATTTTGTGTTTAGAATCAATGGCTGTGAAATTGCTTTGCACTCTGTATTAGCTCAGTGTTTAATACAACAAAGCCAATAGCAATAAACTTTTGCTGAAGTTCAACGCAATTTTGCAACTAATAGTAACTATTTGTGTCTAGTGGGCTTTTACTCCTGGAGAAAACTCATATGTCTCTCTTACCCTCACAGCTGTTGAGAGCAAATTGTTCCTTCAGCTGTTTTTCTATTGAGAGATGCTCTTTAATGAGATGCCTTTCCAGGGCTAGGCTGATAGAGGAAGTTGCAGTGTGAACTCAAATCTAGTATGGACATGACTTGAGGCAGACACAGTGCTCTATTAGACTTCTGTTTGGTTTTTGAGGTTCTCTGGTGCATATACTTTGCTGTTTTTTTAATATGTTTTTTAACATAGAGGTTCTTTTCTGTAAATGGCACTTTTCTTCTTAACTCAGAAAAGGGAGCTGCCTT